TTCTTTTTCAAAAAGAAAAAAACTTATATTCTTAACTTAATTTAAACTTAATTATTAAATCCTGAGCAAAAATTGGTACTTCATTACTCAGATGTGTTTTCATTCCCGGTAGACATCTGCTGTTAAGAAAATAAACACACCATTAATTATAAGTGTAAAGGTAAAACCTTTGACATGAAGAATACACAAATCTGTTATTACACTGGCAGTACTTAATTAGAGCATTTTAAGTACACACATAGTTAATGCTTGCTTATCTAATGGATTTGTAAAGAGAAGGAGACACAACATGTAGTCCTCAAGCAGAATTTAGAGTAACAACAATGATTAATTCATTCATTTGGTAAAATTACGAAAACTTTTTTTGTAGTTTTTTTTTTTTTTTTTTACTATTTGCAGGTTTAAAAGTGCAGAACTTTGAAGTTGAGCTACAGTGAAATTCACTTTCATGTTGCCAACCGTACCTAAACACTGAAATTACACTAGAAGTATTTAGTAAAAGTCATACCAGAAATGTTTCTGAAACTGGTTTCAGTGGTATTACTGTTTCTCAGTGTCCCATTTTCAACAGCTTACCAGAAAATCCAAGTAAAGATATTGAAAGCGAGTTTTACTGGTGCTGCACTAAAGTGATTCAGAACAAATTTGCTTAAATTACTATAGTAATTTGGTCATTAAACATTAGAGCAAAGTTTTTTAGGGATCAATTCTCAGGCTTCTTTAATTTCTACATGCTTCTCCTGACTCAGATTACAGGAGAAGCATGTAATGCATATGACACAGGAGTCAACGTTTCACTGGATGACAATACACCCTTATAGTCAGTATCTGCCCCAGATTTCTTTTAATTTAATATTTTTTGTAACTAGAGTTCAGCACACATGTCATGTTGATAACTGCCTCTACATGACGTTACTGCAATAAATTGAATTCAAATAAATGTAATGAGGCAAGAAATCAAACTTAACATTTAGATTTACTGGTCTTTTAATAAATATATCACACTACTACTTTCAGGGTTTTCTTGTAAAATACAAAAAAGAGAAATTTGTCATGCTTTAAATTGCAATAGGTTAGATAAAAGTACTTGTCTTTGCAGAAAATCTCTGTCAGGCAGCTCAAGTTTATTAAAAATGCAACTGGTTAATTCCTGACAAACACCAGGAAATTGATCTCATTACACCAGCATTTAAATCAGCGCTGCAACACCGTGATTGCAAAAGGTTAGAGTTTAACATTTTGTTAATAATCTCATAAGTTCTGAAACCATGGATATTAATATAGTTTAGAGCTGTTGATCAGATGAATTATCCATACCCAGCCAAAAGCGAAGCAAAACATTTCGGGACCCCAAATCATCCAGGGCCTTCAATTTTAAGATTATAGAGCTAAAATTTTATATTGGTGATAAGAACACTACTAAGTTTGATTTGATGGTTTCAACACAGATGCATTCAAAGATTTCAAATTGTTTAAAATTTAAATTTAAGATTTACAGAAGTGATCAGAGCAAAGAATAATCATCATTTCATGATGTCTCAATCTGACTCTGACAAGTTTGATCTCCTCTTTGTGTTTGAACTTGGTTTGATCACAAATGCATCTCAGCAAACATTACTGTCTGCTATTGCTTTGAAGCTCAGCTTATTAAACATACTCCCAAATTTCACCAAATCTGTAATGAAAGTAGCAATTAGGAGAAAGTGGTCATAAAGGGATGAACAGAGTCAGCAATAATACTCAGAATGACTTTGGTGTTTACAAATATAATATCAACTGCATCATAGCACAACCACTAACAGTCTGAAGCTTTGATAAAGACAGGATAGATCCATATTTTAATACGTTTAACAGTAAATTCAGACCCTATCATCTAAATATTGCAGCTGAAGTTGAAAACTGTGGGATTGGGTAACAGATTTAATAAATTTATTGTCTAATTAAGTGTAAAGTTAAAAAGTGGTGGTGAAGTTCTTAACCTGAAACCCAGTTCTCCTTAAGGCCCCTCAATCTTGGGCCAGCCCTGCACCTCACAGTCAGTCACATTTAGTGAGTGTGCCAGAATCTGGGCTAAACAATCACTACTTTGTGGTAGTGATGGACACGGATCTGACTTGTCAGAGACACACAAATGCAGTTGTAAAGTAGGCCTTCCATCACATGAAGGACTAATGTCGCAGCAAGATCTAGAGAATCTCATTTTTGCGCCGATCTTCAATTGCATGGATCACAGCAATGATGTTTTCACAGGTGTGCCTAAAAACAAAAATTCAATCAGACAGCTGATGCTGATTCAGAACGCTGCTGCTTGCTTTCTCACTAAAACCAGGAAGACAGAGCACATCACCCCTATTTGAAAGTTCTGACAATGGCTGCCGGTAACTTAGAAAACAAACTTTAAAATGCACCTAGTGGTTTAAAAACTATGTAGTACTTTAGCACCAAAATACACTAAAGATGTGTTGAAGAATACACAAATCTGAGTGGCAGCATTCCTGCCACTCAGGTCTTCTCTTTTGAGTAGCGTCCACAGAACTATAACCAAACATGGAGAACCATTATTCAGTTTTCATACTTCCCTAATCCAGAAAATAACTAACCGAAAACTGCTAAGCCACTGAGTTCCTTTAAATCAATGAAAACCTTCCTTTTTAGGGCTACCTTTGATTAGTCTGAGCAAATTTAGAACATTTTAATCTGCAGTAACTTGTTCACTGTTTTTTTTTTTTTTTTCTAATCATGTAAAGCGCTTGGAATTGCCAGGTTGCTAAAAAATGTGCTATACAAATAAAATTGCCTTGAAATCAACTCCCTGAAAACCTGAGATGGGCAGAGTCTGTTGTCCCCTTCATATGAGGCCTGATTGCTGCAAAAAGCATCAGAGATGATTTTATTACCTGATTTTAATGTTATTCTTTTTATAATATCATTCTTTTAATGTATTGTGTCTTTAAGGTAGTTTCTTTCCTCCTCTTGTTCCTTTTCTTTTAAGCCACTTTGAACTAACATCTTTTGAGTTCAGCTAAAATAAACTCACCTTACCTTAACATCCCATCCCTCCTTTGGGAATCATTGCTGTAAAAACACCGACAATGCAGAATACACAGACCTTTTATGAATTTACTCTCTCTTTGGCAACAATGATGCTTTGAGAGCACCGATAACAGGCCTTAATGTGGATGTCATTCAATTTACAAATGTGGTGCAGTGTGCGATCAGATTTAAATGCCAATGTGTAGGTGTGGGTTCAAATGGAGATATACTCCAGGTGATGGATGAAGCATTTCACAACAGATGTTTAGAGGTATAAACTGCTGTCACCAACATTTTAGCAGCATGCAACCTATTTGCAACTGCCTCATTTTTACCACCAGCTGTGCTGTTGTGGAGCAATACCCATCGTTGAGAATAAAGACAGAAAAAATTACTCCGCTGGGAGGGCCATGTATCTAGATGAGAGGGAGATCCTCTTAAAGGTATCATGCAGGCGCAGTATGCTCTCATGTTCCCTCCTCCCCACAACATCTCCTCTGAGACCACTGATTTAGCTGGTAGAAGACAAGATCCTCTTTGTCCAGATACACGCAGAAAACAATTCTCTGGGTAAATTAAACACCACAGTGCCAAAAGAACAATAGCTGGTCCCCAAAGGACACACTGCCATGTGTGGGTGTGTGTGTGAGAGAGATTTGAATGTCATATGTCTTACATGAGTGGTTGTTAAGGCTGACAGCTGCAGTAGCTTCTGGCTGAAAAGCATTTGCACAGTGACACTCAGAAGCATGCAGAGAGCTCGGTGGATGTACTGTACGCCAGTGTCTGGAGTTTCCCTAGTAACAGCGGCTACTTCCACACTGTTGCTGATAGAAACAAAGACGAATATCTTTATGGCTACGTAGCACATGCATGCAGCATATGGCTCATAAATGTACACAAACAACAAGTCGCCAGTGCTTGTTAAAACAACCTCACAGTCACAGCTTTACAAAGCAGCTTTTTCACTGTAATTCACCAGTACATGTACGTATATATGGAACTGAATGTAACGCATCCACATACAAACCGTGTCTCCTCAAGCTGACTTTGTGGTGAGCACACAAATACACATGTTCGTCTTTCTCTGAGTCCTATTATTCACACACCACAAACAGCAAAGTAACATTGGCTGCCCCAGTACCCTGATTTATCAAACTGGCAAGGGAAGTCTGACATACTCTCCTTTCCTCACTTTCTCTCGCACACATAAACACAAATTCTAAAAAAAAATAAATAAAAAAATAAATAAAATCACTCACCTGAGGCAACCTCAGCCTGTTCAACATGTACTGAACAGGCGGAACAGTAATCACTAGGGAATATGGCAAGAGCAAAGGACTAAAGCAGCAGCAAAAGGGTGGATTTCACGTTTGGCAACAACAAATCAAGTTTGTAAAGAGAAACAAAATTTAACTCTCTTCTTTTCAAGCTTGAATACTGGCAAATCATTATTATAGTTAACATATAAATTATTTTTAAATATGTGGATGTATTTTTGTCGGTGTTGGCTTAAAAAAACAGCTCCATAAGTCAAGGATAAAAGTAAAGGATGATTATAAGAAGAAAGATAATGAATAAGAATTATGTGTCTATGTGCTTAGAGGGAGGTCAATAAAAACAGTGATAGTTTATGCCTGAACGCCAGCCTAGGTAATGGGCTCCTTCTGTTCTAAGCATTGGTGACATTATATAAAGTTTATTGGTAATTTAAAAACTGGGTGTTATGTTATATAAAGCAGTTTGAACTACCTTGCTGCTGGAATGTGCTAAATAAATTGGAATCAGCCCTGAAGGGGTTTTCTTGTGCTTATTGGGAAATAAACTCAATGAGAATGGCATAGAAGTCATTTGCTATGTGCTGACACTGAAGTTGATATTGATTCACAGTTGCAATAATTTGGGAGAAAATAAAATGGGTATGTAGGTGGGGGGTTTTCAAAAGCAGGTCGCTTCGAGGTACAGAATCTCCGTAGCTCCACATTTATTTGCTTTTCATGACAATACGCATTAGAAAATCTTTTGGTTTGTAATTGACAGCTACATTTTGTTGTTGTTGTTTGTTTATTTCTCCCCCTGACACAGCTGTACCTGAGCCACATAATGAAGAACTGCTACTGAATACAATTGAAGAGTTAATAATTATTGAACACATCTTTTTAAAGTATATGCACGGCTTTAGTGCCAATGCAAACTACCCCATTCAATGTGCAAACCTTGAAACACAAATCAAGAGTCAAGATTCAGGATGTCAATGCTTTACATATATATATTCATCAATTCAGCTTTGTTACTGCACACAAGCTGCTCACCTCTGTTGAAACAAACCATCTGCAGCTCTCTCATCAACAAAACAAAATATTTGGAAGTGAGGACTCAATTAAACCTGCTCTGCTGTTCCATACAATCTTTTAAAGACATTCTAATGTCTGCAACATGCTCAACAAATGCACACATCATGGCAAGGCACCTTCAAATATATGCTTCCTTGCCCTTTCAATTCATATTAAAGAAAAACTTAAGCATCACACGAACAAAGATGATTGTCTGGTGAGGTGATTGATCCAACCCTAAATAAAAAACAGGAAAACAAAGCCATTTTCCTACCATCACAGAAGCTAATCAATATAAATAAGCAGCTGTGTTGCTTAAAGATAAAGACTGTGACATTTTGTGCACTCTTGTAATGTCAAATATGTGCACAAGGATGCATGGGAGGCTGCAAAAATCCTAATTAAGACAGATCAGAGCATGAGTTATGAAATGCCAGTAAAGAATTGATTGTAAGCAGTCAGAATAAGCTGCAAGATCACTGATTTATGTTTTCTGCTTAATGCAGATTACTACAAAGATGTGTGAAGCGTGTTTGGTTTGAGAGAGGTCAGGAGGTATCAGAGCATGAATATTTCATAGCTTTGTGTGAGCACAAATGAGGAGAGTAACACTGTTGATGTGTGAGTGTGAGTGTGCAGCCAAAAACAAGACCTAATGGACCAGGTCGATTTTCTTTTCATATTTCAACCTTGATTTATTTGAACCAAAAAAGAGATAATTCCACTAAACTTAAATACAAAAATAAGGGACTCAAATTTTAAAACCAATGTATGAATACAATTTACACATACATCCAGTGCTGTGAGCGAGATGACAGCATTGTGGAGAGAACAATATGGCAAAAAGAGGAGCTTGGTCAAGCCAAGACGCTTTGCTTAGGCAACTGTTGCAACCAGCTCAGGCTTTCAGAGGTCTATGAATCATTAAGTGGCTGGAGTTCGTGTCGTTGGGTCTGTCCTGGTCGTAAAGCTAACAGTAAAAAAATAGAAGGGAGACCTTTGAGAGACATCCCCAGATCCCATCTACACCCGTCCCCTCCCTCTGCCGGTCTGCTCTGCTGCTGCAGAGAAGAAAGGAACCGAATCCACTTTTTTTCCCCTCCTGGAAATCAAAGAAATCAAACCGAGTCGTGTGCGCCGTGTAAAGGTGATTTTGCTTGTCCTGTGTTAATGGGGTCGATTAGGAATCGTGTGCGCCACTCAGCACGCGTCCTAACCATGCGGGGCGTTGTCTGTTTATATGGCCGCGCTCCCTCGTTTCTCAGTACTCTCCATTTTATTGGGAAATCCACAGTGCATCGAGGTCCGTACTAAACGACGGTCCCAAAACAACAGGTCCTTATTCATATGTGCGCTTCTGGCGGGACTTAATTGTTTGCGTATGTGTGAGGGTCCTGTTAGTGTGTGCGCCAGTAAAGCGTGCGTCCATGCGCCTCGGTGACTGGAGGTGGAGGATATCAAACGGAATTCCTGATCAGTCCTTGTCTCCGGTCACCAAAGAGAGCTCTTTAAGAATTCCACTGGCGTCCACTCTCCGCCGCTCGCGGATCATGTCCTCCAGACTCCGAAAGACCAGAGTGTGCACCCCGCTGCCGGACAGGTGCACTTTGAGGAAATACTGCTGCTCCGCAGAGTGCGCCTCCCCGCCTCCTTTGAATTCCCGTTTCCCGAAGCGGCACCAGGCAGCGAAACTTTCAGAGTTGGTCCAACAAATCTCCTCACTTCTCAGCCCTAGATGTCCCGAAGCATTCTGCATCACCAGGTCCGGAGGAAGCGGCCGAAATCGGTACCGATTGTTAACTATTCTGCCGTGCCGACCGTTGCTGATCTCCAGCAGACTGTCCCTGCGGATTTCGCCCTTGTGCAGGTGAATAACTTGGTCGTCACGCTGGTAAATGACCCAGTGGGGGGGTTGTGCGGTGGCCACCAGCTCCAGCAGATCCCCCGGCTTGCACATAGTCAGCAAAGTTTTGACCGAGTACACGTTCAGGTCCTCGTTTTCCCGCAGCTTGGAGAAGATGCATTCCTGGGAGCAGAACGCCGAGTACTCCACCTCACTGACCGAGAAGGGTCCCTCCTCTGCCGGGCTGTGGTCCTTGGTGAAGCCGCAGTCGGACGGAGTGCGGTCGTCCACCTCCTCCTCTTCGTCAGAGAAGAAGTAGGCGACGCCGACCCGAAGCTCGTCCTTCTCCAGCCCGGACGGATCCCCCGTGGGCAGCTCGCTGTAGTTGAGGTGGGTGATCCGATCCAGTTGGTTTCCCATCAATGACCCGGCAAGGCAGAGGCATGGACTGCGGTGTCTGGGAGTGAAATTGACAGCATGGAAAGCATGAAAACACCGCCTTTCACAAAACAATGGCTTTACGCACAAAATCGATTGTAGCTATTCTAAAGAAACACATAAAACCAGCAAGGATCAGTGCGCACGGGGGTGAAAGGTGTCATATTACTGAGTCAGTCAACGATCCACTGCCCCTTGCTCCCTCACACTCAGTCGTAAATCACAACATCCGATGGAATGTAAGAAAGCCAAACAAACAGGAAGCTGCAGGATACAAACTATGGTCCACTTCACATAAAGACCAATCTTTACGCACAGCAATAAACGTAGAAAGCAGGATAAAACAGGATACCTGTGCGCTCCCGAGGGCGAATGATTAGATATCCTTATGATCCATGAGTACAGAGGGCTGCTCAGTCCTCTGCTCTCCTTCTGTCTCTTTCTTTCCCCTCCTTCTTCTCTCGCTTCTCCTTCAGTGTTTGCAGCACGCACCGGGCGCTCCGGCTGCAGTGCGAAGCTCGTACTTCACATCTTTCTGGCACCAACTCCATTTAAGTACCACGGAGAGCTCCGCCTCCTCCGACGCGCTCCGCCCTCAGTGGACCTCTTTCACGGTGTCTTGTTACCTCCGGACCAATAAAAACCCTCCGAGAGTCTGCCAGTCAGTCATCAGACCCAATCAGGTGTGCTCAGAGGCGGCTGGCGGCGATAGACGGCTGTTACTGTGGTGTGGCTTTTTTGTTTTCAGTGAGCTTCATGATCAGCAGAGTCCCCGCGCAACTTCAGCGAAGACTCCCATTCAGACGAGATAAGATGCAACATAATCTCACAACAAGCAGATAAGACAGCACTTGGTAAAAAAAAAAAAAAAAAGTGTGCTGCAAAACATTTGCCTGCTAAATATTTTTAAAATAGATATTTCTATTAAATAATAGAAATTTCTATTTCCACTGGCTTTTCCCACTAAGTCAGCAAGAAACTTCCAAAATTCTATTGAAAGTTTTTCTTGGGATCGATCAACGCAAAGTAGAGTTTGATTGTAAAATAAAAGAAAAGAATATATGGTTTAAGACTTTTTTTATGTCTGCACAGGGACATAAGAGCCAATGATGGATTGAACAAAATAAAGGGATATCCTGGAGGAAAGCATGTGATAGACAAAAAATAAAATTAACGAAGAAGAAAATGGCAACAGAAATGTACCCTAAAAGAGGTTAGCAAGCGGGCCTGTACCTGCCAGCACCTTTTGTGACACAAGAGCAGCTTCCACACCCTACTTCCCATGAGTGGCCTGTAAATATTTTTTTCACCAGGCAGCAGACTCACAGACATCTGTCACCATATGAGGATTGTGTCGCTGGTGTAGGGAGGGGCCCTGCAGGTGTGTTTCTGACAGCAAGAAAGAAATAAAACAAAGGACTCCGCAGGATGCTTTGTTCAAAAATCTGTAATATTACTCTCCACTGATGTTGTGCCTGAGAACCAAAATAAAGTTGAAATGAAATGTGCATCGCATTGAGGCGCGTGACTCACTTTTGCATGCATAATATATTGAATACTTTTTGGGGTTTTTTGCAAGATGACTGTGAGTACACTTATGCCATCTTCTCTGAAGTGATGTCTCTCTTTTCATCATTTCTGCCCACAGCAGATAGCCATCTTAGCATTTATATTAGACCCCTCTCCATGAAGATAATATTTCCTCTTCACACCCCAGTCTTCCAAATCTGTTAATCTTTTTTTTCTTCTTCTTCTTCTGGCAGCATCTGGTGAGCTGTGAGGAGTTGCTGCTGTCTTTTTTTTTCTTCCTCTCCCAGATGGTTGGAGATAGCAGCTTTCAGCTGCCCCTGGTCTTTGTTTCCATCAGTGACAAGCAGAGCAAGCAGGAAGCTTTTTCTACTAAGTGAGAAATGATTGTGCTTGCACATGTGCCCACGCAGACCAAAAGGACAAAGTCAGATTTCCATGTGGCCCTTTGCATGTCCTCCTTTTTGTTTACAGCTGCAAACCTGAGAGCAGGAGTGCATGTATGTGACCGATTGCCTTTTTACAACCATAAAAGCAGTGCTGTGTGATTCATTTATGATGTATGGTGCCCTTTGTGTGTATCAGTGCACTTTAACTCTGACTGAGAGTGAGAGAAACACACTGGGTAGTAAATAAGATTTTTCATGGCAGCCCCACACGCATTGTGTCACGGGACCACCAGTAATGGCTTTGGCTACAACTCTTCCTCTGTGCTCCTGCCACCTGTAATCTACAATGAACAGAAATTAGTTACCTTTGAGGATACTAACTTCCCTGAACACACACAAATATACACACTTTCTACTCAACTTATTCCCTTTCATTTCCACTGCAGTTTCTTTTCAGTGTTTCCTCACACACTTAGCTAATCATATCGGGTGTAATAAGGCAGGTTGCAGACAGTGGTGGAATAACTACTGAGACAGAGTGATATTTCACAACACCAATAATTGGATTCCCTAATTACTAACTAAATCATCTATTCTATTGTGCAATGCAAATAAACTTGTCTGACACACACATGCATACACGCAGTCAGTTATTTACAGATTTATATCTTAACAGATTAACATCTCTGTCTAATAAACATCTAAAAATGCATGTCTGTCTTTTCTTTTGTTCTTGGAGCTAAACAGCTACCTCTCTTATTGCAGAATCTATCTATCTATCTATCTATCTATCTATCTATCTATCTATCTATCTATCTATCTATCTATCTATCTATCTATCTATCTATCTATCTATCTATCTATCTATCTATGTATCTATCTATCTATCTATCTATCTATCTATCTATCTATCTATCTATCTATCTATCTATCTATCTATCTATCTATCTATCTATCTATATCTATCTATCTATCTATCTATCTATCTATCTATCTATCTATCTATCTATCTATCTATCTATCTATCTATCTATCTATCTATCTATCTATCTATCTATCTATCTATATATCTATCTATCTATCTATCTATCTATCTATCTATCTATCTATCTATCTATCTATCTATCTATCTATCTATCTATCTATCTATCTATCTATCTATCTATCTATCTATCTATCTATCTATCTATTTATCTATCTTCAACATTTAATTTGATGAATGTTTCCTGGTCTGATCAAAATTGTGACACCTGGTCTTCATACTAAATGTTTTGTCTGGCCGCCCTTAGCATACTATCTTGAAACATGGTGGTGACAGCATTATGCTGTGGAAATACTTTTTTCTGAGGCTGATCAGACAAGATGGTGCATAAATTGAGTCAGTAAGAGCTATGGTGGAGTAACTATTCTTGAGAATATCCGTGTGTTAGTATGGCCTAATCAAAGTAAAAACCTGAATATGTTGCATGAGTTCAAATTGAAATTTTTATCCATTCTAATCTTTAAAGAAGGGTGTGCAAACAATTTCGGTGTATAAAACGATAACCGTTAAGCGTTATTCATTTTCCTTCCACTTCAGATTGTATTTTTCTGTCTCAATAAAAAGTTGGTTTGTGGTTCTAACAAGGCAGAATGTAAAAAGTTCACGAAAAGAACAGCGAATAGGCACAGTATCGGTGTGTACTTTGAGAGAATATAGCACAGTTATAAACCCTTGGGGCACAACCACATGTATTTTCTTTGCTTTGGTGTAAAATAGAGCACTGAAGACAGCTTTTCTGCTCTTTGTGTATACCTGTTTGTGTTTGAGCTCCCTGCACCGAAGAACACATGGAATGCAAATCTCTGAGAGCTGCATAATCTCATTGTTGTAAAAATGTTTTATGCAAGTGGAAAAGTTTAGGTTTTTATCATGAAAAAGACCCAGTTTCCTCCATAGAAACCCCATAGGTAACACAGAATTCCACTGTAAGCTCTTTTTTGTGATACTCTATTGATCCCTGCGGGAAAAATAATCCTCCTGCTTGTATCTTTTGCGTGGAGGTCAAAGAGCAGGGTCAGCCGCCGAGCAGTGTCAGACAGAAATATTACTGCACTTGGCCAGTGATTTCAGAGCTGTTGGAGACGATTGCTCGGTGTATGGAGTGGCTCTGTGATCTATTTGGTGAGGATCCAAACATAACAGTCAGCAGAACAGCCTGGCTGTATGCCAGAAAAACAATACAGCAGCATTAAATATTGCTCTGCATTTTTCCTCTGTGACATGGACTATTATGTAAATGCTAGAGGACCAGTGAACATTTTGGATGAAGGTTGCTGTAAGTTATGTTTTGCCCTGTGGATCTGCATGTAATAATTCAGGAAACAAAATCCTATTGTTGAAACGTGAATTGGAATTATAATGAACTGATTGGTTTTTACACTGATTAAAAACAAAATTTGAACTGAAACCTTAGGGAATTTATGCTCTTTGATAAACAGTAGATGCCAGAATGCAATGTCAGAATCCCACCATATAATTTGTGACCATGAGTGTGTGAGTGAGGGATTTGTAGATGCAAAAGCCATATAGATGGGGGATTAATAAATTACCAGCAAGAGACTTCAAGTAAGTCTGACTCTGTTTTGAATCGATCAGCTTCCATCCTTCTGCAAGAGATTTCAAACCCAATTGCAGGGAAGTCACATTTATGTGAAAAACATAAATGGAATACAATAATTTGCTAATTCTTTCCAATCTATACTCAGTCAAATTCACAAATATCTTCACAGTCAAGATATTACATGTTAAAGCGCATAATTTCTTTTAAAATTTGCTGTATACATTTTTTTTTTATTTGCAAATGTTCACTTATTTGAATTTTGATTCCAAAAAAAGTTGGGACACAAGGATGTTTACCAATGTGTTACATTATCTTTCCTTTTAATGACAGTCAATATGCATTTGGGAACTCTAATTGTTGAAGCTTTGCAGGTGGAATTCTTTCCCATCCTTGCTTGATGCACAACTTAACAGTTCTGGGTCTCCATTGTTGTAATTTGTACTTCACAATGGGGCACCACTGTCCATGCAGTAAGCAGTGCATCAAATCTTAGTTAAAGGGTTACAGGGTTCAAAACCATTTAATATACATTTGGAGTGAGCCTGATCAATGCGGATGAAAACATAAATATTCATCAGAAAACGATTTGGTTGCGATTACATTTCCAGATCCTCGTTCAGATGTCTGAGGCTTCACAGTACTGCTTACTTTAAGGTGTGAAGTTTTTTTGTTTGTTTGTTTTGTTTTTTTTTTACCAAGAATTTAAACTCTGATTTAGCTTTTAGAACATCTCAACAGGAAATATCATATTAATGTTAAACTCCGACCTTGATAATCATGCGAGAACAGAAACAAACACAGAGGGGAACCAGCAGCTAATGTGCAGACACCATTATGTGATTAACAACATAAACAGTGAAAACAAAGCTGTTAAACAGTGCCAAGCAGAAGTGATCATTTATTTCTAATTTATTTCAAGATTGCATAAACATAGGTAGATTAATTCAAATGTATCCACTGGAAATTCAGTCTGCTTTCCCATTGAACATGTAGGTTTGCATCTTTTAATAGAGCACGTCATCTGCTTGTTAG